GAAGATTCCAGATTCTCTTGAAGGCACATAATGTCACCTGTGTCATGTCCTATTTCTTCATTCCTTCATGCAGGGGTCACAGTTATTGATAAACCATTATGAGCCTGAAGGATATTTCCAGCATATCTATACATGAGAAGCAGGCATCGACAAGCATTTCTGAGGTGACTGAGAGCCTAGCGCTTCTCCACTTATAGCTGCACTTTAAGTCTCAGCAGAAGACGAGACCATCTGCCTTTAGAGGCCTCGGATACTGAAGATTATTTTTGGTAGAAGCACTGTGTAAGCTTTCTCTGCACCGAGCAGCAGCTGACTAACTTAATAAGAGGCTGAGACAGCAGTCCCTAAGCTGTGGTCTTTAGGCAACAGTTGCTTTCATAAAAACTAGTTCTTATCAGCCTCGAGTGACTACGGATTATTTTGTGAAAGAGAATAAAGTTAACCTGTTCTTGTAAAATTAAGTTTTATCTTTATTCTTTCTCCTGGAAACTCTCTCCTGGGAACAGAGAATCTTTGGGACAGATTAAAATCTATGTAAGTATACAGCACAGTTGAGGGATGAAACTGTTTGCTTTTATAAATATCTTTGATTACATGGATATAATAAATTGTGTGCATATAAATGTGTGTCTATATGCTTTCCTTTAAATATGTTTGAAAAGATGTTTGAAACTTGATTATCTATTTATAATTGGCACAGTACTTTGAATTATGCCAGTACTACATTGTAAAACAGAGTTGTATTTTTTGATATTTAACAATGCTTAACACTTTAAAACGCCACTTCTAAGGAATGATCACGGTGTAACACACTTTAATATGTGTGATGCCAAACTTTTTTAAATAAAATATAAATTATGCTTATTTATTATTTTCTTTAGTTTAATCTTGGTTATGTTTTAGTGTATGTTTCTAATTTTTTTTTCTTAAAATAACGTTTTTGGCATGAAAATACCTGCAGGTTTTTGATGAATATAATGAATGTATGGAATTAAACTGAATTTGCATGGTCTTAAGAATTTTTTCTGTGTGTATAAATTTAGCTGCTATTAATGGAAAAGAAAGCTTCTGTGAGTAACCATGTGTATTGAGCAGATAGTTTTTCTGAGATCTTCGATTAATCCCTTTAACGATGACCACCATGTGTCTTTCTTGAATTATCTTTGAATAAAAGTTTGTATATTATTTGTTTCACAATGTCTTTGATTTTTACCTGTGTAACTTTTTACTTTTTGCCTGTTTTTTTTTTTCTTTGTAAAGCTTGGGTTCTCCAATCTCATAAATCTATATAGTTTTTTTTTTTTTCATGTTCTAAAAGATCTGTATTTTTAATTTTTTGCTAAAGTAACTTTAATCTATCACAACAATAACTGATGCCCCTGGGGAGTTGTTTTTGGAGAAAAACTGACCTTGGCCATCAAAATAACAGATTGAATAAATTTGAAATTTTTGTATGTCCTTATTCTTTATGAGCAATAGAAGTGGAAAAAAGCAAGTAGCCTAATGAAAGGGGAAAGAACTGGTGGCTTTGATAATAAATACAAAGAACTTTAGGTTGGGAGTAAGAGAGTTGGGTGGGTGAAATGCTGGGCACAGCAGAAAGGGTGGAATTGAAAGGAAGTAAATAGCCTGTGACTGTCTGTTAGGAGTGGACTCTCTCTAAAGGGTTAAATCAGTCTGTTGGCAAAAGTTACAATCATCTTGTAACTTGTGATAACATTTTTCTGTAGTTGGTACAAATTGTTCAAATTTAAACAGAACCACATTAAACGGTTGAAGTCTCCACTGTAAACGAAGACAGAATTTAATCTGGAAGGGCCCGTGTTCACTTGATGAAACATGGATTTCCACATTATTTCAGCCTCCCAGGACAGCCATCATTGGCAAACATGTCAAGGGTCTAATGAATGTGGAACTCCACCATTTCTTAGAGCATCATCAAGAGAAGGATGCAGGCATTTTCTTTCCCAGTGAGTTCCCAGAATAACTAGGGGGAAAAGGTTCCGTCTTCTCATAACACAGAGTGTTTCTGTGGCTAGATGTGTGTGCAGTGTGCCCCACCCTTCAGCAGTTCTCCAGAGGCTATCTTCTGGGTTGCCAGTAGTTCAGTTCTTCCCAACTGACTGAAAATAGACAGCAGTGACACTCCCATCTTGGGTGACATCTATTTACTAAGATAGCCCACAACATGGGAAGACATGTTCTGGTTTGCTTTGCTTTTCTTTGCAGACAAGGTCTCAAATGTAGTTCTGACTGTCCTATGGAGACCAAGGTGGTCTTAATCTTAAGAGATCCACCTATACTTGCCTCCTGAGTGCTGGGATTAAAGATGTGCACCACCACACAAGGCTTGTGTTCCGCTTTGGTTTTAGAGATAACTACAAAGCACACAGATTCAGAGACATGCTTGAAGGAACTTGTAGGTCCTCAGAACCAACACTTTCTCACCACTGTCTCAACCACTCTGACAGGCCTTACCTAAGAGTCTTCCTTACCCTTTTGGGTGGAGCTGAAAAGATCCTTTAATCATCCAGTCAGTCACTGTAAACGAAGACAGAATTTAATATGGAAGGGCCCGTGTTCACTTGATGAAACATGGATTTCCACTGGTGACTGGTGCCTTCCTGGGGGAGCAGACGGGCCCTACCCTGGCATCTCATTAGCGTAAACTGAGAGCTTTGCTCACTGGGTAGTCTGAGAAGGGCTTTAGGAACATAGTGGCAGGGATGGGACCAAGACCAAGCAAGCACATTTCATGTGTAGTGTTCCTCGACTATTAGAGTTGTATTGAAGTTATACCTACCCTTTTTAAAGTGTTTCTTAAAATGGAATCTCTGTCTGTGACGGTGATTGAGATTAACTTCTCGGGTTGTCAAACGGCTATTTGTCTTGGCTCTCTTGTTCCCGCTTGCCTGCCAGAGTTTGTCAGTCACTGGATTCCTAACTGATAGTAGATGACTTTGGACATGCCTCCCTCCCCTGTTCCAACCTTCATCTTCCCAGTTTGAAATATCTTAGTTTGCTTTTTGCTTTTCTTCTAACATCTGAACAGTTCCCCCTGAATGATTTCTTACTATGTAAGAGTTCAGAAATTGAGGCAGAAATTTCACCACTATAGAATTTTCTACTGTTTTGTTAGTATAGAAAGCAGCACTGTCCCCCAAGTGTTTTTCACCCTTCAGCAAAGAAATTTCTCTCTCCAACCGTTACAGAAAACCACAACTGATCAAAATGCAGAAAATGAACTTGTGTGGTACTCAGTGGTGCTTCCACAGATACATCTATAAACACAACTTCTGCAGCTGAGGCTCTGGGATCCTTATAGAAGGGAGTGGAAAGATTTAAAAGAGCCTGAAAAATAGGGATTTTTCTATGAGATTATGTCTCTCCCTGAAAGTGTCAGAAAAGCTATACTCATGAAGTCTCATCAACATATCTGCCTACACAACACCAACAGACGTGCTGACATGATACAGGGAAAGCTCAGGAGGCCTCAACCTTAGACAGAACTATAGGCAACAACAAAGGAATGTGGAGGTCAAGAGAAATTGGCTTACCTCAAAGAAGACCCACCCCCACCCCCATTGGTTATCCAATACCACACGGTCATCCCTGAAAACTTACATACAGGTAACAGACTGAGCAGGTTGTATTTTCATATTTAGGAACATATACCTAACAACAGTCTTTTACAAATGCTATGAACTTGAGAGAAAACAAGGGAGTACATGGGAGGGGTTGGAAGGAGGAAAACAAAGGGAAAAATGATAACATTTCAAAATGTTTAAAAAGAAAAGGAAACAGTCTTGGGCCCGAGTAGAGTTCAAAGCCAGGTCTTGTACTTGTTTCTCAAATGAACTGTGTTGCCTGCTTATCTTGAGTCTTCTTGCTAGCTGAAAGCAGAGAGGACTAGGGTTGAGGTCAGCAGTTTGTATGCTGCCAGATGACTTGGCTTTTTACCTTAAGGCCCTGACCCTCTACTGTGTACTGATTAACACAGTACTACCTAGCCATGTGCTAAGAACGCCTTATTTCAGTTTGCTCTTAAGCACTCTACCAATGTCCCTGGATGTGGAATCCCGGACCCTTAGAATGCTAAGCATGAACTCTGCCACTCCTTTGCCAAGGCCTGAACAGAATCACCCCCAAACTTTTCCAAGATTCTGTTCTCATGCCTGCAACATGGGAATGATGGCAACTACCCTTCGGGGCTATGGCAAGATCTACATTACTCTAGAATTCATGTTCCGTGTATAGAGATTTATTAAAAGATAGTTTCCAGGCTCAATGAGCATAAGCCTAGCCATCTGAGGTTGCGAAGAAAGACAGAAGATTCAAGGAAGAAGGAGGATTAGAGTCAAAGCCATCCTTAGGTTACATATCTGGTTCAAACGCCAAACTACATCAGACCTGTCTCAAGAAAGATCGAAATCCAGAATAAACCACAGGAAGGCAAGACTGAAAACTCAAATCATTTTTTCTTTCTTTTTTTGTTCAGGGAAAACCGCTTTTAATAAGGGTGAGGAAACACAGTAGAGACACAAAAAGAACGTCTGTGAAGCAGAGGAAAGCCCAAAGTCGTCAAGTCAATTTTTTAAACATTTGCACCACTTTTTTTCCGGGGTTCTGGATGAAGGCAAGCCAGGGGGAGAGGCGAGATGCTATCCCGCGGGGCCGCAGCCCTGAGAAGCCTAGGTACCAGCAGCTTGGTTGCCACGGCGACGCTGGGGCGAGCGGCTGCGCCGCCCCGTCACGCGGTCACGCGCTCCCGCGGCGCCCCGCCTCTAGCTGCGCCGCGACGCCGCCGACTGGCTGGCCACGCGGGTCTCACTATCCTCACTCCATCCGCGGAGCCAATGGCCAGCGCCGTCAGGGAGTCGTTGACGTGAGTCACACGCAGCCGGGCCGCGGCACGGACCAATCGATGCGAAGCGGGGGCGGGGCGGGAGCGGGGCGGACCAATTACGGAGGGAGGGACCGGCCGCGCCCTCCGGGCCCCGCCCCCGAGCCGGCATAGGTAGCGAGAGGCCGCTGCACCTGCCGGGTAGTGCAGCGAGAGGCCGCCGTCAGTCGCGGGACGCCAGGTGAGGAGCCCTGCGGCCGGGTGGAGGGCGGCTGGGACCGGGGTCGGCGGGGCCGGGAAGGACGCGGTGGGAAGGGCTGTGCAAGCCTCCCGGGAAGGAGGCGAGGTTCTCAAGTGCTGCGACTGGAATGCCAACACTTCCTGCTCTTGAAAGAGTTCGCAAGCATCTATAGTCCCGATCATTGATTTAAGTCTTAAGACATTTTTACGAACACGCAATCACCCCGGGGATGGGGAGCAAGGTATCCTCTATGTCTGTGGCTCTGGGAAGGTGTTCCAGAAGCACTGAAGGATGAGTAGGAGTTGGGCCGCAGTCAGCAGAGAGGGATGGAGTTGAGGAACGGAACGGCATGTGGTTCCATGTGACAGAGGGGTGCAGAGAGCAGGGGTCCAGGCTTCACCTGTAGGGGAGCCGCCCCCTGCTTGAACCGTTAAGTTTTAACTCATGTTTAGGTGAATGGATCCTGACACTATGTCTTAGGCCTTCTCTTACCTCTAAGTGCCAAGGGCAAGCACAGATCGTCAGCCAGGCTTTAAGTTAATCAGAGAACCTACGAATGTGTTTCTTTCTTCCTGTTTTTTCTGAGGATCTTGTCTACCTGATTCAGATCGGGTTTCCAGGCGAGCAGGCTGCCCAAAGATAAGGAGGCAGGATACTCAACAACACCTGCTTTCCCCTGGCCTGTTTGATTACTTTCTCTGAAGCTTTGTTCATCTACATTCCCCTCTTCCTCCCCTCATCACAGAGCGTAAACTCAGGATAACTGAACTGTCTCAACATTTTGTGGGAGCTGGAAGACTTAATCGAGGGAGAGCTGAGTTGGGAGAAACTGGAACACTTTGTTGGAGATGATGTAGTTCAAATTAGGCTTAGTGCTAGGAGACCAGAGTGGGTAAAGGAGGGTGGCACTATTTTATATGTAACTTTACTAAGAAGGGTGCACAGCAGTGGCCTGGATGAGATGATGGGGATTAGGACTTCTTTTCTGCCTCCTCCCCTTCCCTGCTGTCCCCCCCCCCCCCCTTTTCTCTTGTCTTTCCCTAGATAGTATCTCACTGGAGCTAAGCTGGCCTGAAACTCACTGTCTTTCCATTTCAGCCTTATGAATGATGGGGTACGGATTTTTTTTTTCTAGAAAGGCGGACATGAATATGTTTTAATTGTATTATTATTAATTAAAATCATTTCTTTTATGTATATTGAGTGTTTTGCCTAGTTCTCTGTGGATGCCTGGTACCCTTGGTGTGAGAAGGTAGCAGATCCCCTGAACCTGGAATTGTGAGCCACCATGTAAAGGCTGAGAACTGAACCTGGGTCCTTTGCATGAGCAGCAAGTGCTCTTAACTGCTGACCCCAGTCTCTAGTCCCATGTGTATATATTTAGAATGAAGAAAGTGGGCTTCATGTCCATGAAGGACATGAAATAAGAAAGGATAAAGGAGAAACATGTGCTTAGTTAGATGAGAACATAGGAAGACTTCATCTGGAAAAGAATGAGGACAAATTGTGAGGCCAGCAGTATGTGACTATAAGGGGTGGAACAGAAAGCACTAGGAATGAGTTCAAAGGTCTGAAAGAAGGTAGTTTATCTTCCTAGCATCTCTTCTGTAGAATACGATAAGAGGTCAGCTTTAGAAGAGCTAAAGAGTTCTGAAAGTGCCTATTGTGAACTCTTCTGAGACTAAAAATACTGTTCTTTTATTTGAAGATTATGTCTCATGTATCCTTGACTAGCATTGAACTTGATATGTTATAGTCAAGAATCACTTTGATCCTCATTCAGAAAAGCAAATAGGATAGACATCAGAAGAGGGAAAAGACAGGAAAAAAGCCAGGAATCTACCACAGAAGACCTGTGAAAGATTCTACCAGCAGGGTATCAAAGCAGATGCTGAGACTCATAGCCAAACTTTGGGCAGAGTACAGGGAATCTTATAGAAGAAGTGGGAGATAGAAAGACCTGGAGGGGACAGGAACTTCACAAGAACAGAGCCAAAAAATCTGGGTACAGGGTTCCCTGCAGAGACTGATATTCCAACCAGGGACCATGCATGGAGAGAATCTAGACCCCCTGTTCAGAAGTAGCCTATAGGCAGCTCAATTTCCAAGTAGGTACCCTAGTAAGGGGAACAGGGGCTGTCTCCAACATGGACTCAGTGGCCAGCTCTTTGATCACCTCCCCCTGCGGGGTGCAGCCAGTCCTGATGAGACCTGATAGGCTAGGGTCAAATAGAAGGGGAGGAGGACCTCCCCTATCAGTGGACTGGGGGAGGGGCATAAAGGGAGACAATGGAGGGAGGGGTCTATAGCAAGAATATGAAGTGAATAAATTGTAACAAATAATAAATAAATAAACCAACCAAAAAAAGAAGAAAGAATCACCTTGACCTTCTGATCCTTCTGTTTCTGCTTCCAGAGTTCTGGAATTACACATATGTACCACTATGCTTATGTAATGTTAGAAATGGAATCTAGGGCTTTCTTTGTGCATGCTAGGCAAGCACTTTACTAACTGAGCCCTAAAATAAGTTTATGTTGTTGTTTTGTTTTGTTTTGATTTTATTTAATGGTCCATCAATTCGTAAATTACGAACAGTGGGGATATTTTTACAAAAGTGAGATTCACAATGAAATTAAACATGTTTGATTGGTGACCAGTCAGGCTAATATTTACTGGTACAAGATATTCTTCTTTAAGAGATTAAAATTATTAAAATTAACCTGGGTGTGGTACCTTTAATCCAAGCACTCAGAAGACAGAGGCAGGTGGATCTTTGAATTCAAGGCCAGCCTCTTCTATAAAGTGAGTTCCAGGACAGCCAAGGCTACACAGAGAAGCCATGGTTTAAAAAAAAAAAAAAAAGAAAGAAAGAAAGAAAGAAAGGAAGGAAGAAAGAGGAAAAAAAGGAAACTAAAATTGTATAGAAAGTATAGCAGTGAAAGTTCTTCTGCCTTTTTTTTTTTTTTGTCTCTTCACAGACCACCACTGTGTGAACAGTTTTGTCCAGTACATTTTCTGTGTGTGTTTATGTTGTGTACATTCTCATCAGATGAGAGTTTAGAGGAAATACATGATTTTTATAGAAAAACAGGGACTTTTTTTACGTAGTTATATTTGGCTCTTGCTATACATATTATTCTGTAATTATATCTTTTGGATTAGCCCTAGATTTTATACATAATCCTATGCAAAATATATAGGTTTTCCTTTTTATGTTAATTTTTATTACCTGCATTTGGAGAGCAATTGGGGGCACTGACATCAATACTGCAAGTGCCTGAAGGTCCAGAAGAGGGATCCTGGTCTCCTGGAACTGAAGTTACAGGCAGCCACTCAGCATGGGCCTAAGAACCAAGCTCAGGCCCTCCCAGAGCAGCATGTGCTATTAACCAACCACCCATCTCTCCAGCCACTCTTTGTTTTTATTTCCTAAGAATGAAAATATGGGACTGGAGAGATGGGTCAGTGGTTACAAGCACTGCTTTTTCTCCAGAGGACCCACGTTCCCAGCACCCACAGGGCAGCTCACAACTGTCTGTAACTCCAGGATCTACACAGAAATGCATGTAGGCAAAACACCAATGCACATACAGTAAAAATTAATAATTTTTTAAAAAGTATAAATGTATAATTACTTCCATTTTAAATGAAGAACATGAGAACTTTTTATAAGATTTATTTATTATGTATTCAATATACTGCCTGCATGTCAGAAGAGGGCACCAGATCTCATTATAGATGGTTGTGAGCCACCATGTGGTTGCTAACCTCTGAGCCATCTCTCCAGCCCAGAGCATTAGATTTTAGTGGCAGGTGATGTTATGTAGATAGTTGCAGAAGTGCTGATAGGATAGCAAGAATGTGCTTAAACAGTTTCTCACCTCCTTTTCATGGTTTTCATCATCATTGAGTTACTGAAGATGTCTTCCTGTGTAGCCCAGGCCCACCTTGACCTCCCAGCAGTCTTCCTGCCTCGAGTCCCCAGTGCTGGGATTACAAATATGAGCTCCTTCTTAGCGCACTCATCCCTGCAATCAGCTGTATTATTGCCTGTGGAAGGATGTAATAGAATTGAATTAACTCACCTCTTGCTTATTGACTTACATATTCTTTTTAAATCTGTTAAGCTATGTTCCCTTGTAGCTTAGCATGTTTGTCTTCTACGCTGAGTTAAAGAATGAGTTATTTTGGGATTATGACAATACTGCTGACTTTTATTTTTTCTCAAATGATGAACTGATTTGTCCCAAGCCAGCAGTGTGGATAATGCCTCTTTATACACCAGACCTGAAGCAGTGAGTATTGTTGAACTTTAAAGGATTTGCCATTTGGACAAAAATGTCTCTTTGGGGTACAGTTCCTCCTTTGATGGAAGTAAGCTTCTTGGTTTGTGTGTGTGTGTTTGTGTGGGCTTGCCTGCTTGTTAGTGCACATGGGGAGGTCTCTCTGAACCTGGCTCGTTTCCTCAGGTGGATTTCACTGAACCTGAGCTCCTCAGTTTAACTGCTGGGGTTACAGATGTCACTGCTATACCTAGCTTTTATGCAGCTCCTGGGAATCTAAACCCACTACTTGCGCTCCTATGGCAGGCACTGTACTGACTGAGCCATCTCCCAGAGCCCTAAACTAAGCCTGTGGGGTTTGTGGGGGGAACATTTAGCTTTATTGTTCTATGAACTGCCTATGAATGGCCTTTGTTATTTTTTTCCACTGGATTTTTCTAAAGCACATTGTGTCCCTCTATATCATGTATTGAGATGCTTTTTGTAGTTTGACATTTGATCTCTGGCTTTGTTTAATACCATTTTGCTCCCGTCAAAACTTTCACGTATTCTCTTTTGGCAAAGTTTTCGTAAAGAGTGTGTGTGTGTGCGCACGCGCGCGCAAATCAGAGAATAGTTTTGTGGAGTCAGTTCTCTTTCCATTCTTACTTGGGTTCCAGGGATTAAACTCAGTAACTTGAATGGCAGGTGCCCACTGAGCCATCTTGTCAGCCAAAGACTGTTTGATGAAATTAAAAGGTTTTCCACATAGACCACACATTGAAGGTCTCTTTAGCGCTGGGATTCCCTTCCCACTGTTTTTCTAGGTATTGCTGTAGAAAGGAATGTGTAGTTTTCAAAGCAGATTCTGCAAATGGAGATGGTAATAGCATTTAGCAGATTGTTTCAAATCATATTTATAACCTAAGAAACTAGTCCTTGTCTATTAGTTGTCATTTAAAAATATCAAAAGCTATTTTATGGCTGTTCTTGAGATTCTCATTGTTTTGTTTATCTGTTTACTTACTGCAGGAATAGAAGGCTTCTCGCAGAGACTTGACCATGGCCACAAACAATAGTGGAGGCATCTTCAGCTCAGCCTCGCTGGCTGTGGAGTATGTGGAATCACTGCTACCCGGGAATCCACTGCAGGAGCCCTTTAAGAATGTGTGGGGCTACTTGTTGGATAACTATACAAAGTTCCAGATAGCAACTTGGGGGTCTCTCATAGTTCACGAAGTCATCTATTTCTTGTTCTCTTTACCTGGATTTTTATTCCAGTTTATACCTTTCATGAAAAAGTACAAAATTCAAAAGGTAAGTGCGATGAGCTTGAACTCAAATACTATAATTGATGTTGTTGGATGTTTTCCAAGAACATTGAGCTTTGAGAGACACCTCAATACTGTCCAGTAGAAATATAACGAAGTCACTTATGTAGCTTAAGAAGGTAACGAGGGAATAGGGAAATTAATTCTCATAATATGTTTTATTTAACCCACTAAAGCTAGGCTATTATTTCACCAGCTAACCCAAGCTAAATTGCTTCATGAGATATTCTGATATTTTTATCTTCATAGTATTCTGAGCTCCACTGTATATTTATGCTAATTTTGAAAGTGTTTGGTAGCCTCATGCTGCTAGTTGATGGTGGTCTGTTAGACAAAATAACCATAGGTCATAATTAATGGTGTTTCAGAGCATTGTCTGTAAAGGTGAGTTTTAGGATGATGTAATGCTTATCTAATTGGGGTTTATAAATTTTAATCTTTAAGCTGTCTGGCAGGTGTAGCTTACGTATTTAAACATGCTAAAGGCCCTGGATTTACTCCTTAGCACACATATATTTTTTTCAAATCCTACTTATGCACCCCGTCCTGAAAAAAAAAAAACTCTCAGTGGGGAAAGAAAACATGCACGGAGGTTTGTGGCCACTGTGCTGGAGTTCCTACTGCTGCAGTCTCAGCAAATCTAACTGAACGTTAGCTGGAAAGATCCCATATATACACATGGTATGTCTGCAGCTTTCGTGGGGGCCCAGATCAGCAGGTAATGTCCTTTGTGCCTGTGAATTTGTTTCAATGTACTAGATGTGTCTTGCAAGCCCACTGTTCCTTGACAAGGTACTCAGGGATGCACAGTACTTTGTCTCGGTTTTAAGCAGAGTACTACTAATAATATGTAGGCTATTTGCTATGTAGGAAGAATTTGGACAAGCATAGAGAAAGGAAGGACTTTGGTACACCAATATTAGTTCTTGTTTGATTAAAGATAACATCTCATGTATAGCTCAGACTAACCTTGAGTTTAGGATCTTCTGATTTTCACTTCCTGAGTGCTCATAGGCACGGACCATCTCCACCTCCAAAGGTTTTGTAGTTGTTTGTATGGCACCATTGGCTGAGCAGTTATAACCAGCTACACTCAAGGGCACACAGAAATGGCAGAAATAGATGCTGAGTGTTCATCTGCTTCATTGGACATGTATGTCTCGTCAGTCTCTTGGTTTTGTAGTTTTTCCTAGTGAGTCACTGTAAGGAAGGGCTCACCCAGGTCCCACAGCTGCTATCACAGGCATCAGGTACCCGTGAACTGTAGGCCAAGATGAGGAAAGGGAATCAGAAATGGAGGTAGCCCAGAGACCCCTGTCAGCCTTGAAGTCAGAGCACTTCCAAGGTGTATTTGGTGAAAGGCCTGAGCTGAGAAACAACTCAATTGGAATGACTTAAATTCTGAGTCATTGAGGTGATTCTGGCTGTTGTGTGTCATCCACTGATTCATTTATTATAATTAAGGCTGATTCACTGTGGGGCCACCAAGCTGAAGTGTCCCTTCTTCCGCTGCTGCCTTCTGCAACTGCTTGGTCATAGGTGGTGGTACCCTTTCCAGAGGAGAGATTTTTTTTTTTTTAGCCTAGGGTGTGTAGGTGGCCTCAAAATGAAGTGTGGCAGGAAGAATAAGCAGGGCTGAGGATGTGTGGTCTGTGTTTGGAGTGCTAGCCTAGCACACACAAGGCTGTGGGTTACAGTTATCAGTGCAAGCACACACATACACACACACACAAGCAGCAAACTCCACAGTCTAATTGGTTATTAGCTTTGTGTATATATAGAATGAAGGGCTGGATAGAATGGCTGCAAGTCGGCTTTTCACAGCCATCAAAATCCAAGCTTTGACTTTTTTCAGTAAGTAGTGATGTCAAATCAGTACAAACTCTCACAATATAAAAGGGCTGAGAAGAAAATAAGGCCTAGAATTGAAGCTCTGTAGTAGACCATTTGTCTAGCCTATGCAAGAACTTGGATCCTAGTACAGACAAGTGAATCTCTGAGTTTCAGGGCCATCTGGTCTACATAGTAAGTTCAACTCCAGTCAAGGCTACATAGTGAGACCTAAATCAAAAACAACAACAAACAGACAAAATAAAATAAAGCAAAACAAAAAGAAGAAAGACAGACCCTGGGCTCTACACTCCAACCCCCACAGCACAATTAATTAAATGAGGAAAAAAAAAAAAAAAAAGAGTGGAGACCAGTGTCATCATGAATTGTGAACGCACAGACTGTGATTGAAATGAATATGAAATGATTCATGTCTTTTGCTCAGGGCTTTAGACAGTCCAGGATAAAATATTCAAGAATTATATCATTTAACACAGATTTTTTTTTTTAATTGCCCTTGCCTCACAGCATGTGTGGCACAGTACAGTAATCCTAGCACTTAGGTGGAGGCAGGAGGATGAGGTTCAAGGATTCTTTGTTCATATACAAGTTTGGGGTGGGATCAAAGAAGCCTTGGAGTAGAAATACAAAGGCAATCTAAGTTACTGTGTGTGGTAAACTTGCTTTGTCACTGAGGAAACTGATGGCCCTGTGAGCATCCCAGCTGGCTCGCTGGCTAGTGCAGTATTCTAGCCCAGGCCTATAGGTTGATTCTTTGATTAAGGATTAATGTTTTTATTTGTTGTTTCATACAAATTTTATGCTTGTGTTTTGTATGTGCAATGCAGTCACCAAAGCACACATGTTGGGAGGTCTTGGTTTTAAGAACAGACCATTATGTTATTCTCCCTTTTTTTTTTTTTCTTGCATCTAAACTTCATTGTCAGGGAACATCTCCTCAGAATTTATAACTCTTGCTTCGTGTATATACAGAAGGTACTTATTCCTGGGGATAAATACCACTGAATGCCTGGATGCAATGAGTTGTCATTGTAATAAAGCCCCAGCTGCTGCCTGTGCAGGCTTTAGGTGGGGCACTCAATGTAAACTTAACACAACTTAATTCTTTCAAAACTTCTAATAAAAGAAAGTATCCCATAGGCAGCAAAGCCTGCACAGCTGGTTGCTTCTTAGGTTAGTTTTAGATCTTTGTTGCCATATTTGTCTATTAACATTTTTGAACCAGTTTAATTATAGAATTAAGATTCCTTACCACTGTAGTATAAACTGAACATAGCATAGAACTAAGGGATTATATACATTAGAGAAAATTTTAAGTATTTATTTTCACTTGTTCAACTGAACTACTGAAAGCAGACTATTAAATATTGTGTTTTTGTTTTTGTTTTTTTTTCTCTATAGGATAAACCAGAAACCTTTGAAGGCCAATGGAAGTGTTTCAAAAAAATTCTCTTTAATCATTTTTTTATTCAACTGCCTCTGATTTGTGGAACTTACTATTTTACAGAGTTTTTCAGTATTCCTTATGATTGGGAAAGAATGCCAAAATGGTATGTCAATCATAATTTTAATGTTCATATTCATTCATGGTTTATTTTTTAATTAACTTTTGCTTAAGGTTTATCTTCTTGATTTGGTTAATACCCTAAAATTTATTATGTCCTGATATAACTGGACATATATATACCAGAACTTAGGTATACAGTTATTCCTGTGTCTGTGGGTTAGTTGCTGCAGCTAACCAAGTACAGACTGAAAATCCACTTTTTGAATTGAATCTTTTAAACAGGATGTGGTGGCACATCTGTGGCCCCCGCACTCAGGAGGTTAATGTGGGTAGGCTTGGGGCTAGAGAACCACCTGGACTGCACAGCTAGTCCATAGCCTGCCTAGGATACAGTGAGACCTTATTGTTGTTGCACATTAATATTTATTATTGCTTTATCTTTTAGTTAAACAGAGACTAGGATTTAATTAACCTAGAGCACAATGCTGGGCAATAGTTACTCCATCGTAAACTTCCTCCCACATAGTTTCCTCCCATTCAGATTTCGCAAATTATACTTGCTTTTGGTCATATCTTTGATCTGGTTCCTCTCTCCTCATGGTTCCAAGTCCTGCCCTGCTGACCTCTGCTCTTGACTCCTCCCACTCACTTCCTTCTCCTCCCCTCAGGACCAGGCTGCCCCACCTTAATCTCTCCATTGCTCAGCATTGGCTGATTGTTTTATTGATAATACAGAGAACAAATGGTGGCATGTTTACACAGACTTGAGACAGGTGATGTGTAGAATAAACATCACAATGCAATGTCCAATTGAAACCAGATAGTGGGGTAGAGAAATCAGCATTTGAATGAATATGGGTAAATTGTAACCATTCCACAAGAACATTATACTAACACCTTATCTCAAAAAAATAAAAATAAATTAAATAAAAATGTGAATCTTTCCTGCACCATGGACATTTTGTTTTTCTTGTTATTTACTAAACAACACAATACAACAATTACACAACATTCACATTGTTTGATTCTGTAGTACTGGAGAGATGATTAAATGAGAGGATTACAAAGGCTTTCTACAACTGGCTATTTCCGTGTTTTTAAAAAAGATGTTTGAGTATACAAATTATTTTTAGCATTTTGTCTTAACTTAAGTATTTCTATGCTAGAAAATACAATAGCTTTACTGTTAATTTTAGACTTTGGTTTCTTAACTGATTTCGAACTCAGATCTTTGGCAACATAAAATATAATGGAAATAGGGTCAAACTCTTTAACTCCTCTTTCAGACTGTAATGTGTAGCTTTATCTACCAGTATTGTTATTTCTTTGAAACCAGGTCTCCCTTTGTAGCCCTGGCTGCCTGGAGCTCACTCTGTAGACTGGGTTGACCTTACACTTATAAGAGGTCTTCCTGCTTTTGCCTTCCATGTGCTGGATTTAAAGGTGGGAGCCACACATCCAGCTCAGCTATCTTGACATTTGGAGAATTTGTTGGTTTATGCAGTTAGATCAAGCTGATAACTGGGTGTTTGGTTTATTCAGTAACTTGAGCAGTGATCCTCAGCCACGGTTATTTTGTATTCTTTACTCTTTGCCACTCACAGGTATATGACTTTGGCAAGGTGTTTGGGCTGTGCAATCATTGAGGATACCTGGCACTATTTCCTGCACAGACTCCTTCACCACAAGAGAATTTATAAATACATTCACAAAGTCCACCATGAGTTTCAGGTACGTTAGAATCATAGTTTGGGCTTTTTCTCCAGAATTGTTAAAACCTGGTTTATTGTTTCACCATTTTAAGAGCTATCAGTATATAAGAGCTATCGCTATTTTATCTCATCCTTTTTTTTTTTTTTCATACACACACATAATGTGATGGGTTAGGATACATGTAGGGTTAGGGGACAACTTTATGGAGCCAACTCTCTCCTATCCAAAAAAATCATTTCATTTTATGGGTATCTGTGTGTCCCTGGGTGTGTGTGTGTTCACCCTATGTGTGCAGGTGCCCTCAGAGCCAGAGAGGGTGTTGCATCTCCTGGATCTGGAGTTACAGGCAGTCGGAGCTGGGAACTGGACCTGTGTCCTCTTGTAAGAGCAGCAAGTGCTTTTAACCACCAGCCCATCTCACCAGCCCTCTCCCTTCTTTTACCTTTTGAGATGGACTCTAGGAGTCAAAATCAACCGTGCAGGCTTGCACAGCAAGCATCTTCACCCAGTAAGCCCTGTTGATCCCCCTTATTTCCTTTTGACATGATAATGAAGAACATGATGTACGCGCACATATAGAACCATGCCTAAAAGTTTTCTTCCTTGTCAGTTTCATGGTAGGAACTGAAGAGATGACTCAGTGGTTAAGAATACATCCTGCTCTTGTAGGTCTGAGCTCAATGCCTAACACCCATATTAGGCCACTCAGAATCAAGGGCGCCTGTGCTCAGCTTCACACACACATATATAATATAATTAATAATATATATATAATTAAAGACACATATGTATATATACATATGTATATGTGTGTATATATATATATATATTCATGGTAAATTAAAACTTTAGAGACTATTACACAAAACAGTTGAGCTTCTCATACTGTTGGTGGACATCCTGATGCAGCTTGATGCCTGGCAGATTGGTACTGGCTCTATTAATGCTAGGATAAAATAAATGAGATTTATAAATAATAAGCACTTACTATTTAAACTAGAGCAATTACTCAGTTGAAGTACATCTTCAGAACAGATTATTCTTAAATCAGAGCTGCTTTCATATAGGTCTCAGTGGATTCCTTAAAACATGGATAAGATACCATACTAATAACTGAGACACTGGCCAGACAGTGTGTTCAGAATGTAAACACTGAACAAAAGAGTGATTCTCATTGGAAGGGCTGAGACTGATAGGGCATTACTCAGAACAATGCACAATTTAAAACATTTTTTCTGTTAATACTTTAGGGCAATAGTTAGTATAGGGTAAATGTAACCTTGGAAAACAAAAGCATGAATAAATTGGCTAGCGTATATCATATATCAGCATTCCCTTACTGGGAGAATAACTACAGATTCATATATTAAAAATTGGGAGTTAAGGGCCTACTGGCTTGCGTTTGATTACTGAATTTCACAAGGTGGGAGGAGAGAATTGAGTCCTGAGTGTTGTCCTTAGACCTCTGTGCACATGCACACACACTCATTTGCGTGCACCCACACAGACAGGTAAACAAAAAGTGTTTAATTAGGTTGAAGTTAGATGAAAGATGAATACTAAGATACTCATATCCCTAGACCTTTTGATAAAAATTTACTGAGAACGTCTATTATTATTTGTATATGTACAGCTGAATCACCATCACTACTTACACGAACAATATAATTTCATAAAATTGTGTGTATAAATTAAATACATTAGGGTTCTCCAGAGAAAGAATCAATACACAGCTAATATGCACATAGGTTCATTTGAAATCTGAACGTGTATACACACACACACACACACACACACACACACACACACACGTAAAATCGTGACATTTAGGCTGAGGCAGGGTGTCATGAGTTCAAAGCCAACTTCAGCTACATAGATCCTGTCTCACAAAGAAAAAAGATTTTTTTTTTTTTTTTTTTTTAGTCTGAGGCCCAAATTTTGCAGAGCAACAAGCTAGAAAGTGAGGTATAGTTGTTATGTGAATTCTTTCTTTCTTGGGCAGCCTCTTTCTAGCTCTTAAGGCCTTTCACTGACTATGGATGGAAGGCAGGTGGAAGCCACCTTCAGCATATAGAATAAAATTCACTGGTTCAGGCATTAACTACCTCATAGCATGTGGAACCCCAGAAAACTGACACATAAATTACCCATTACAATATGTTAAGAAATTCTTACTCTGTTTGTTTTAGGCTCCATTTGGATTAGAATCAGAATATGCACATCCTTTAGAAACCCTGATTCTTGGGGCCGGATTTTTCATTGGCATTGTGCTTTTGTGTGATCATGTAATTCTTCTCTGGGCATGGGTGACCATACGTTTGCTGGAAACTATCGATGTCCATAGGTGAGTAATGCTTTTCATTCAGGTAAAAGGCATCATCTTTCTGTTTGTGTGTGTGTTGGTGTACTTGAGTGTGTGAATACATGTGTGTGTGTGTGAACAGGTCACTCTTCTGAGGTAGTTTCTCAGTGAAACCCAGAACTCGCCAGTCTTGCTAGCCAGCATCCCTCCCTTTTGAGGCTTAAATTACAGGCAGGCCACCCAGCTCTTATGTGGGTTTCTAGAGCTCTGAATGACAGTCCTCTTGCTTGCATGAGAAGCATTTTAACCACTAGCCATTTCTCATGTTATTTTTAAGTCATCATCATTGAATAAAAGAAACAGTAGATGTTTTTATAGGCCGATCTATTACAGTTCATGAAGTGAAAGCATGCAGCGTGGTGTCTTTTCAAGTAAAGTGCTCAGGGCCAGCAGTTACCCTGCTGCAGTGAGTCTCACTCCCCAGAGGGTGTTAAAACCTGTAGCTTCTACCATGTAAGGTCGATGCTGGTCTCAGGGTAGTGCTGATCAAAGCACTTACTTAAGGAAGGTGCTGCTTGAAAATGGACATGTTTTAAATGCTTCCTTTCCACAGACGTGATAGAGACAATTTTAGATTATATCCAATTTAGATTCAAGAGGGTAGACCAAATAAGATTCTTTTCGAAGTCATTTGTTCTCCCAACTTAAATAGCACAATGTTATTTTATTGTTTTAAATACTCAATGCTAATTTCACACAACCTTTTCTTAAAAACACAAGTAGCATTATGGACTTTGTTTACACCTTCTAGATTGTGGTGGACAGGCTTCTCTAAACAACAAAAAAAGTGATTCTTGAAAATGTGGCTCTGCTTTTTTATTGTAGTCCCTTTCTTTCATTTGCATGTATCTTTTAAGATTGTTAAATTTTCCTAAATGTACCTTTTCCTGTAAGGTTTGCTGTTGTTATTTTTCCAGCTAGGGTCTCAAAGCCCACACTGCCCTGGAATCCACTCTGTAACTCAGGCCAGCCATTTAATGACAGTCCTCCTGGTCAGCCTCCCGAAACCTGGGGGTACACTACCTGCCTCCATCCCCTGCCCAGTTTTTGTCTTTTGTAAACATGTGAGAAATGAGGTGATTTGGTAAAGTGGAATGCTACATGGTAACAAGCGTGTGACTGTTCATGAAAATACCATCTGTTCAAGATGTGTCTCGTCAGTAACCTGTGTGCCTCTCATTTCAGCGGATATTATCTTCCTTACAACCCACTGAACTTCATCCCATTTTATGCGGGTTCTCGGCACCATGATTTCCACCACATGAACTTCATTGGGAATTATGCCTCCACCTTCACATGGTGGGATAAAATCTTTGGCACAGATGCCCAGTATCATGCCTACAATGAAAAGATGCAGCAGCTTGAGAAAAAGGCCGAGTGAATACCCTTCGTACACCCTCCTGGAGACATGTTTTCTCACCTGGAGCTAGCGACTAACATTGCTTCTGGGGAGCAGATATAAGCACGTGACATGGCTGCTAAGTGATAAAATGAACATTAACAATCTTCAGTTATCTTCCAGATGGGAACTTTCTACTTTCCATTCAAGTTCTGTATATGTGAGGATAAATATATACATATATATATATATATATATATATATATATATATATACATATATATATATATGTATATATATATTTAAGTACATGAGGAGGTTTTAAAGGCCATTTTGCTAACCTCACCGAAAGGTTTCAGGTATCGGAGGAAGTATTAATGTACAACTTAATCTCTTCATGCCTCTCGGGGCTGAAGTTGACATTGCCTTTTAAGCCTTTTATATACGCTGGTCAGTTCAAAAAAATTCTCAAGAATAATGTTTGCCTTCTTTAAGACACGGTGTTTCTAAATTTACCTTAAATGGAAATATCATGAAGTGACTCCATCAGCTGATGAGCGAGTGACTGAAACTGTACTCTAGATTGGTGTTGACCTGTTTAGGACTCTTCTTTCTGTGAAGGACTTTTTGATTGTAGTAACTCTACTGGCATCTTGTAAATTGACCCATTTCTTACATGATATACATAGAATATTATAGTCTGCAGATTTTCAAATTCCTTGAGGTGTTTTTTAAATTGAAGAGCTCCATTTCCACTCTCCACCCCCAATGGTTTTGTGTGTCAAATATTCATTGGAGTCTGATCTTGAGCTTTGTGAATTCACTTCTCGCTCTGCACCTGGAGCTGACGAAATAAATGTGACTTTTGTCTGATTCTCTGGTTTTCAGTTTTGAAGATTAGCTGTCATGTTTTATTCTTATAAGGAAAAGCACAGAAACCATTAAAGTGAGTTTTACAATAAAGGAATGGTTCCATTTTTTCCTTGCTAAGCTTTGCTGGTGGTTGTAGTATGCTCTTGAGTGGCTGATCTGTAGGGGAAATTCTGCTCACCTAGTGATGGTGCTGAGGCAGCATGCTGCCTTACATGGTTTTCCACAAGGGTGTAAAGATACACATTCTAGGCAAGACTACCACTGACCACAGTCCAATCCTTAGTTTTTGTTTTAGGGATTTAACAGGCTCTGTCTATTTTAAACTGACCTTGAATTTGTAATTCTGCTTTATCTTTCAAGTGCTGAGGTTGCAGGACTGACAGTGACTGGCTAGCCATGTTTTTGGAAAGGTTCTTACTATGTGGCCCAGGATGGTCTCGCTAGTAATCTCTTGCCTCAGCCTCCCCGCTGCTGAAATCGAAGAATCACTGCACTATGCTTGACGAGGTTTGTTACAGACTTTTGCTCCATGTCTGCCTCCCGTGCACACGTTTGTGCTTGTGTGTAAGATTGTGCTGTTCACTTATGAGATTACCTGTAAATTCTCTTTTTAATCTTTGCATTTTACTTTTATGCCCATGGAATTTATAAAACAATTTGGGAGAAAAGCAAATTCTGTTGCTAGAAATGGTGGTAAACATGCTTAAATAGCTTGGTGCATACCAAAAACATTTACTGTTTTTTGGTTTTTTTGTTTTTTTGTTTTTCTTTTTTCCTCAATGCTGGAGATCAAATCTAGAGACTTGTACATGCTAGACAAGCATTCTATGACAAGTATGGCACCAACCCACTCAATATGAGCTAATATGCACTGAGCACTTCCCATGCCCTGAATTATGGCTCAGCCTTTTAAAATGCATGTTCTTATTTCTTAGCTGCCCTTAATTCTACTAGATGAACTGTTGGGCAGTGAGAGGCTGAGGGAAGGTCTTGCTTCAGAAGCTGTCTGTGTGCCTGCTTCAGTTACTGCACTGAAGGGTGTCACTGTCCGAATATCTCAGATTACTTTTTAATTAACTAGTTCGGCCAATAATGGGAATTAAAAACGCAGAGCCTCAGGATAGGCAAGCACCACCACTGAACTATAGTTTACTTTTACCCCTTCTTTGTCTTTTTGAAACAGTCTTGCTCTGTTGCCCAGGGTAGCCTGGCTTACAGAGTTCCTGCTTACTCCTAAGTAGCTGGGATTATAGGAGTGCACAACAGCCATCTCAGCAGCAGCTACCTTTTAGGAAGAGTGATATTTGAAAAAGGAAAAACGTTCTAAGAGGTAAACGTTTATAATTCAGGGCTGGAGACATGGCTCAGCAATGAAGAGAGCATTCTGCTCTTCTAGAAGGCCCATGCTTGATTTCAGGTACCCAAATGAATAGCTCAAACTGCAACTCCAGGTCCTAGGGCTCTGGTGCCTTTTTTGGCCTCCAGGGGAACCTCGTACATATAAACTCACACACTATTCTAGTTGGCTTCAGTGGTCAACCTGATACAGTCTAGTCTGGGAGAGTCACAACTGAGGGCTTGCCCAGATCAGTGGTCTGCAGCTGTTTTTATGAAGGGTTGACTTGATTGGTGGCTGATTGGGGGTCCAGCCTACTCTGGGAAGCACCATCCCTAAGAAGATGGACCTGGCCTATAGAGAGCCAGCTGCTCGTGAGCTACTAATCCAGCCATAGAGAGGCAGTGAGCAGCATTCCTTTATGATTCTCGCCTCATGGATCCTGCCTTATGTTCCTGCCCTGACTTTCTCAATGATGGATTGTAACCTGGAGATATAAGCCAAAGTAATCCTTTCCTCCCCAGGTTACTTTTAGACAGAGAGTTTAATAACAGCAACAGAAAGAAAACTTGGACATGCATAAATAAAAAATAAGTCTTCAAAAGATTCATATTCCCAAATATGTTAGTACAGTATAGATATAACTCAGCCAAAACTTTTTTCAAAGTTACCTGAATTAATATATAAGAAGTCTGAAATATGGGCTGGTGAGATGGCTCAGAGATTAAGAGCATTTGCCTGCTCTTCCAGAGGACCTAGGTTCAATTCCCAGCACCCACATGGCAGCTCACCACCGTTTACAAATCCAGTTCTGGAGGATCCTATACCCTAATACAGACATAACTGCAGGCAAAACACTAATGCAGATAAAATAAAAATAATTTTTTCAAAGGCTAAAATACTAAGCCACAATACATAGTTTTGATCCTACCCTGAAGAACAGCTGATAAGTGTCAGGTGTGGAGATACCTGCCTATAGTCCCAGCCCTCACGAGGCTGGGGAAGGTGGAATCCAAGTACTAGGCTGACCTATAATATATAGCAACAGCTTTTTTTTTTTTCTCTTTCTCTCAAAATCAGGATAGTTTTTCTTTTTTTAAAGATTTGCTTATTTTATGTGATAGTCTTGGGTGCATGTATGTTTGTGACTGTGGTTAGCCTTGCCCCCTCAGTTAATGCTCTCTTGAAACTTCCTCACAGACACACCAGAGTGTTCTGAGCCACACCAGGCACATGCCAGAGTGTGCTTTGTCACTCATGTACTTCCTAGTCTAACCAAGGCAACCATCAACTATCATTATTCCTATGTTGGATTAGATTTTTTTCAGAGTCTTATTATGTAATTCACACTATAAACTTAAGTGTGTCGAAGACAGTTTGATAACATGTCTATTTAGCAAAACAACAGTAGTCATTCTAAAGCTTGTCACTCTGTAGGGGGTGGTAGTATGTGCCTATTGTGTAAAAGTATTTATCTCTTATAGATAGCACATAGTTAGATTTTTTAAGTCCATTCAGCCTCTTTCTGTCTTTCTTTTTTTTCTCTTTTTTTTCTTGAGAGTGTAATCCATTTACATTTGTTTTAGTCACTGTTCTATTGCTGTGAAGAGACACTGTGACCAAGGCAATTGCATTTTAAGAGCAAACATTTAATTGGGAGCTTGCTTAGAGTGTCAGAGGTTTATTACATTATCATCATGGTGGGGAGCGTGGTGGCATGCAGGCAGGACTGCAGCAATAGCTGAGAGCTACATCCTGATCCATAGACAGACTCTGGGCTTGGCATGAGCTTTTGAAACCACAAAGCCTACTTTGAGTGACATACATCCTCCAATTAGACCACACCTCTTAATCCTTCTAATCCTTTCAAACAGTGCCATTCCCTGGTAACTAAGCATTCAAATATATGAGCCTATGGGGACCAATCTTATTCAAACCATGATATTTCATTTGAATAGTTGACAAGTAAGGATTTCTTTACCACTTGTTTTTGTTTTCTGCTTTCTGTAGTTCATCTGTTCCTCTTCCTCTAGTCCTACCATCCTTTATTGGTTTTTATAATGATATGCATTGTTTCCCATTTGCTCTTAGCTTATCTACTGTGGGTCTTTGTTTTTTTTTTTTTTTATGGTTTCTATGGGACCTACAGCATCATGAAAATATAATAGATTATTTTAAGCTGATAGAAATGTAATTTCAGTCTCACAGGAAAGTTTTAAATTTTTTCTTTCCACAGTTCATACTGAAAGGATCAGACTAACTTTGTAACCTAATATGTCTTCTAAAGCCTATATTTTTGAGTTTTAGGCCCAGGTTAAGCTAAAGCCTCTTAGTACCTTTCCAGAGAATGAAGGAATGTGACTCTGGCCATCTGTGAGGACAGAGATTAAAAAAAGCGAGCAAGCAATGACCTTCACTCGGCAAAAAGAATGACCAGACCCTTATCTTCGAGATAGTGTTTCTTAGCAACCAACCCAGATGGCCTCAGTCCTTCATCTGAGTAGCTCCTGACCTCCAGCCAAAAGCCCACAGCAGCCCTGATCTTCAAGGATGAGCTAATCACCCCCACCTTTAATTGCAGCCACATCCACACTTGGCAGGACTGGTCAAGCTTGACCACCTAAGACTAACCAATTATCTTACTTTATAGCTTCCTCATCCAATCCTGAATTGCCAAGACTGCAACCTCAAAATTCCCGCACCTTGTCTTTTAAACACCCAAGGCCTTTGTCTCCCAGGGCACTCTTTGCTGACCAGCCGGGGTGACCCCATTGTGCAATGGTTAAAATAAACCTCTTGCGATTTTGCATCGATGAGATCTGGTCTCCTGAGTTCTCTTCATCCCTTCTGAAAATTAGGCTCATGCTGGGCCTAACATTACTGTTAGGCACCTTGTGCTTCCATGTCCATCTTGGCCTCTTTTCATATCAACTTTGGGAAATTCTCATTTTCCCTAAGAAAGCACAGGTGATAATGGGTTACCTTAGCTTACATTTGTTTGGAAAAGTTTTCCTTTTCTCTTGTCCATTTATGGAGACATTTAGACACCCTGTAGGCTTTGTTCAAACAACTACTTTATTTAAGGTTCTTAAATGCCTCTACCTCTGTTTCCATGCCCCCGACCTTAGGTCAGAGATTAGTAGGGAAAGGGGCTGTAAGCCTTTTTAGTTACTTCCCGCCGGTCAGGGTCCTTGGGTTTTTTGGGTACATACCAATATTTGTCCTCAGGATACTATCAGTCCAGCCAAACAGCAAAGCAGCAAACCGCAGCAGCAGCAGCAACAGCGGCCGTGGTACCACTCAGCAAAACTGGCTACATTCTGCCCAAATAATACAAGTCCACCAAAGTGGCAAAACAGCAAGAAAAGTTCTCTGGAGCGTTTCTCTCTGAGAAACCCAGCACAACTATGTAAGTGAAATGATGCAAACAGCGCTGTCTCGCTCTCTGTGGGCTTCTATTTATCCCTTCTTGGAGTCCACACTAGGATGTTTTCCAACTTGCAAAAGCCACGCCCTTTGCACAAGGTAGTTTCCAGCTGACACACATCACGTGCCTTTTCATGGGGGCTGTTTAGCGAAGGAGGTAAGTAGGCGTTCCCACATCCCACACTTGGAACCAAAACAGAAAGCATATTCACATGACACAACTGAGTCTCCAAAGAAACCGGAAACTTCCATTTCAACACCCAGACGATTTTCTTATTTTAACACTTTGAACATGTAATCCACTTCCTTCAGGGCTGCAGGGCTTTTG